CGCCACCTTAGGTGTATGTGGCTGGCGCCTTAGCCGCTTGAGCCACAGGTGCCGAGCCTATTCATTAAATTTTTAAAAACAGTTTCCTTTCTTTCTAAAGCTGTTTCCAATATAAGTTTTATTTATTCTTATGTGTATATTCTATGCATGAATCCATATCATAGCTATAGGTTGATTCTTTGTTAAGAACTTTAGAATATCAGGCTTGGTGCCAGCCACATACACCTGAGCTGGGGGTTTGAATCCAGCCCGGGCCCACCAAACAACAATGACAGCTGCAACCAAAAAATAGCCAGGCGTTGTGACGGGCGCCTGTAGTCCCAGCTACTTGGGAGGCGGAGGCAGGAGAATCACTTGAGTCCAGGAGTTGGAGGTTGCTGTGAGCTGTGATGCCATGGCACTACCCAGGGTGACAGCTTGAGGCTCTGTCTCAAAAAAAAAAAAAGAACTGTAGAATATCCATTATGTAATCATGCCATATTTTACTTAACCATCCTGCTAATGACATTCAGGATTTTCTAATCTGCTATTACAGAAGATGAGGGAGGTAATATCACTATATCAGATTATTATACACATTTGTGAACATACCTATAGAACTAACTTCTAAGAGTAGAATCATAGGGATGATGGAGATATGTATTCTGAATTTTAATTGATACTGCTTAATTTACCCTCTATAGAGGTTATGGGATTTACATTACTCTGAGCATTGTCTCAATATCTTTTTCTCCATACTTACATCAATAGTGAGAAAACTTTTTTGTGTTTGTGGAGACAGAGTCTCATTTTATTGCCCTTGGTAGAGTGCCATGGCATCACAAAGCTCACAGCAACCTCCACCTCCTGGGCTTAGGCGATTATCCTCAGCCCCACGAGTAGCTGGGACTACAGGCACCCACCACAGTACCCAGCTATTTTTTGGTTGCAGTTCTGCTGGAGTCGGGTTTGAACCCACCACCCTCGGTATATGGGGCCAGCACCCTACTCATTGAGCCACACGTGCAGCCCCTTTTTCTTTTTTTGAGATAGAGTCTCAAACTGTTGCCCTGGGTAGAGTGCTATGGCATCACAGCTCACAGCAACCTCAAACTCTTGAGCTCAAGCCTTTCTCCTGCCTCAGCTTCCCGAGTAGCTGAGACTGCAGGCAGTGGTTCTTAACCTTCTCATGCCTCCTAATGTCTCAACCCTTTAATACAGTTCCTCATGTTGTGACCCCCAACCATAAAATTATTTTCATTTCTACTTAATAACTGTTATTTTGCTACTGTTATGAATTGTAATGTAAATACCTGATATGCAGGATATATTTTCATTGTTACAAAGGGGTCATGACCCACAGCTTGAGAACCACTGGCTTAAGGAAAGGATATGATCACATTTTGTAAAATTATGAGTGGTATGGATACATGACCACAGTCTATAAGAAGCTGGGCACAGTAGCTCACAGTTGTAATCCCAGCACTTTGAAAGACCAAGGCAGGGCTCGGCGCCTATAGCTCAACCGGCTAAGGCGCCAGCCATGTACACCTAAGGTGGC